ATTAGATTGGTACAAAAATAATTGCAGTTTTTATGTATCATGTAAAATGATTAAAACTGCAATTATTTTTGCATCAGCCTAATACTTGTAATTTTCTTTATAGCTTTAGTAGTGATAACAACCATGGGTGGTTATGTAGTAGCACCTGGCGTTTTTGACTTATATACATTTACTACATGTTCCATTGGTACTGCATTGGTCTCTTCTGCTGCTAATGCTATTAATCAATTTTTTGAAACTCCTTTCGATGCACAGATGTCAAGAACAAAAAACAGAGTTCTGGTCCGTGGACAATTAACGTAAGTTGATATTTTATATTTTAAATATATTAAAATGAAATCATATGTACTAATGTTATATTCTCTGTGATTTTAATATTAGTCCGGCACATGCAGTATTATTTGCAACTGTATCAGGAATTACTGGTTTGTTCATATTGTATAGTCAAGTCAATGCTATAACTGCAATGTTAGGTGCTGTTAATTTAATTTTATATACTCTTATTTATACTCCTATGAAACGTATTAGTATTCTCAATACTTGGGTTGGATCTGTTGGTAAGTAAAATGATCTTGTATTATACTTAATTTAATCTAATAGACTATATCTTGAGTATTGACATTTTTTTATAGTTGGAGCAATACCACCACTTATGGGTTGGGCAGGCTGTGTAGGTGACATAATGGCTCCAGGGGCCTGGATTATGTCCGGCCTTTTGTATGCATGGCAATTTCCTCATTTTAATGCACTTTCTTGGAATTTAAGACCTGATTATTCACGCGCAGGTTATAGAATGATGTCTGTTACGAATCCTAGTCTTTGCCGTAAAACGGCATTAAGATATACGGCTGCGTTAATGGGATTATCTTATTTAGCTCCTGTATTAGATGTAACTAATTGGTGGTTTGCTAGTATGTCAACGCCTCTAAACGCTTATTTTCTCTATCTTGGTAAGTAAGTTTTTAATTTTGTTTAAACTTCTAATTTTGTAAATTTGTATACTATTTCTACATTTACAGCTTGGAAATTTTATCAGAACTCGGATAGTGCAAGTTCTAGAAAACTTTTTCGTTTTTCATTAGTCTATTTACCGGCTCTAATGATATTACTGCTTGTAAATAAAAAATATTGGTTCATTAGTAAAAAAAGAACAGACGTAATAACAAACGATGAAAGTTATCAGAAAGAAGCTTTCTTATCAAATCTCTCGAGATTGATTATACCAACACCATCGTCCGTTTAATGCGATAACACAAAATGTCATCGCTAATAAAATCGTTGACACTATCATATTCTTTAAACTTGTAAATGTGTATTATAAATATATTTTAGTTAATATATTTTGTAAAGTACAAAATCTTGTAAATATCATAGAAATCATAGATAATTATGCAATTTGATCTTAACAGTCTATCTCGCTACATGCAGAGATAAATATCGTAATAACTATACATATACATTTATTAGATTATTAAAAAAAATATCTGAATGTAATTTATATTTAAATAGATACTTAATTACATAAATTTGAAAGAAAGGACATACACACATCTATCAATCAAATTTTATTTAGGAAACTTTAAGAAATAACAGATTTATTATTATTAAAAATGTAATAAAAAAATGTATTGAATTTTCTACATTCTAAACGGAGTTGAATGGTAATTAAAGCAATAAAATGAATCTACAAATCTATAGATATAAATATTGTATCATTACTTGTGTACAATAATTATCTATTTATTTTGTATAATTCTAATGATTATTATAAAAAAAAAAGATCATATTATTCATTTAATGTTACATTAAAATGAATAAAATTTTGTAATTATGCCTCCTTCACGTCATAAATACCTATGTATAACTTCCTTTTTTGCTTTTATATAAGAAAGGAAAAGTAAAAAAAAACTTTAATTTTCTTTTTTATTTGACAGACAAGTAATTATTGTATTACCAAGATGTATGTGATGTTTGAAGTAAAATAAAAAGTATAAAATATTGTTGTTACCAATATTTAAGGATTACATGTTTACATTATGTAGTTTAAATATTGTACAACATTTATAGTTTATTTATTGAATATATAATATTACACATTTTAAATACTATTCCAAAACCACGCGTATATATTACCTTGTTAATTTCATAGAAATAATAGCTATTTAACAGTAACTGAATATACTTTGATTATTCTTTATATTCATGACAAATGCAACTATGATTTTAATACTTTGCATATAAAATTTGCTGTGATTCATGACAATATAGTCAAGCAGTAGCCAGTTCTTTTTTTAAATTTTCAGCAATTTTATTTATAAATTCAAATGTTGTTAAATAGTCACTTCTGCTAATATTATGTACTCCTTTAATACAGATAGCCAGATCCTTTGTCATGAAACCTGATTCTATTGTACTGATACATACTTTCTCCAAAGTTTCAGCAAAATGCTCCAATTTCTGATTGTTATCTAGTTTAGCACGATGAAGCAATCCTCGTGTCCAAGCAAAAATAGATGCAACAGAATTTGTAGAAGTTTCTTTACCTTGCTCATGTTGGCGATAATGTCTTGTAACTGTACCATGAGCTGCTTCTGATTCTATTGTACGTCCATCTGGACATATTAGTACAGATGTCATAAGACCTAATGATCCATATCCTTGAGCTATAGAATCTGACTGAACATCTCCATCATAGTTCTTACATGACCAAACGAAACCTCCTTCAGATTTCATTGCATAAGCCACCATATCATCTATTAAACGATGCTCATACCAGAGTTTTTTTGCTTCAAATTGAGTTTTATATTCTTTCTCATAAATTTCTTGAAAAATATCCTTAAATCTACCATCATATTTTTTCAAAATAGTATTTTTTGTAGAGAGATATAAAGGATAATTTCTGTTAAGTGCAAACTGAAAAGAACTATGAGCGAATGCACGTATACTTTCATCTGTGTTATATTGAGCTTGTGCTATACCAGCATTCTTAAATTCATAAATAGTGTGTATAATATTTTCACCAGATTCACCAGTCCATGAAATCTCAAGTTTTCCAGGTCCTGGTATTATAAAATCTGTTGCTTTATATTGATCTGCATTAGCATGTCTGCCAATAATAATTGGTTTCTTCCAGTTTGTAACTAAACGAGGAATATTTTTACAAATAATAGGTTCACGAAAAACAGTACCACCTAATATGTTTCTAATAGTGCCATTTGGGCTTTTCCACATTTGTTTTAACTTAAATTCTTCTACTCTCTTTTCGTCGGGAGTAATAGTAGCACACTTTATACCAACATTATAACGTTTAATAGCTTCAGCACATTCAATTGTTACTTTGTCATCAGTGGCATCTCTATTTTCCATACCTAAATCATAAGTATGTAATTCAATATCCAAATGAGGAAAAATTAATTTTTCTTTAATAGAATCCCATATGACACGAGTCATCTCATCACCAAGAATATCTACAACAGGTCCTACCTAAAGATAATTAAAAAAAGAATTAAAATCAACATTATTTTTAAATATTAAAATATTATACTAAAATTAAACTTATCGTACTAAAAAAAAATGCTGTAATCATACTTTCCAACAGATGTTACTTTAAGCCCATGGTTTATGACTAAGCATGTTTTAAAAAAACGAAGTATTTCTTGATTTTATACTTTTTTATTCAATAAAATTTTTAATCTAATATAAATATTTGTGCATCACATTTTTTTGTTACGAAAATGACAAAATTACAAATAATTTTTGACTACAATTTGTTTAAATGTTATATAAAAATAAATGATTAAAAATATATGTATTATAATAATCTGATAAGAATTTGTATTACGGAATTTTTTAATCGTAATAAATTTTAATAAACAAAATATTAATAAACTATATTATTTATATTTTCATAACATTATCATTAACAAGACTTTGATAATAATTTTGCATGTATCAAAAAATCATTATATAATAAGGTAAAAATTTATGAACTTTCATACGTATAAATAATAATAGATCGATTTTTTTTTTTTATTTTACTTACTTTTATTTTCGTCATATTTGCAGAAGAAATAGAAAATGTTCTCACAAACGAATATGTTAGCGTAGTACCTGTAAGAGATCTCTCAATGGACTGATACGATGACGTGACACAGTTACTACCAAATTGACAAGGCGCAGTTCTTATAAAAAGTGTGTTTGCTCTTACGAACCGAAGGGGTAGAAACATGGCAACTACATTCATATTCAATTGAATTTTAAAATCAAGTTTTTTTTTTCTTTTTTTATTTCTTAATTTTTTGTCTAATTCTATTATCTTATTATTTCTTCTATTGATTTACGTAAATGCTGCAATTGAAATAATCTCAGAACAAGAATGTATCTGATAAAAAAGTAGAAAAAATCGTCATAATAAAAGTATTACCATCTTCCTTATCATTTAAAAGAATATTCTTCGGCCTTGGAATTTGTACTTTAAAATATCTTCAAGCAAATAGCGCGCGAACTTACATTACTGTATTCATTCTAAATTAAACATAAGTATATATATATATATATATGTGTTCTATGGCATATGTAGTCCACAAATAAAACATATGTATGTATGTAAGTATATAAAATATATTTTTACATATTTTTTTGGTATATCATCGATAGTTATCAGAAATAGTAATCAAAATTATTCGGTAATATAAAGTAAAATTAATATAAAATATGTAATTTTATTGGATAAATATCCAAATTTTTACAATTTTTAGTTCTTAATTCTGATGTATATATGTGTATACACATATACTTCATTCTTTTTTCTGCGATTATTGCGCCACTAGCGATCATATTGTTGAATAGTCACCTGTTGAATCCAACTAAATTCTATTAAACAATTATACAAATTTCTTTCATTTAATGTATAAAAATATTTAATCTTCATATAATTTCAATTTCACTTATAATTATTTTATAATATATCTATGCTTCATTAATATTTATTACACTACAATATAAAGGTGATACAAAGAAGAATAAAAACACTTGTTTTACTTGGTAAATGTTTTTCTTTTTTCGATAAATTGTTAATAACAATGACAATAGTAATATTTATTATTTTACAAAATTAATATTATTAGAACAATTAGGAAATGATGATTGCTTCATCCCAAGGACCATAGATGTTATTTTTAAATTGTTTACATCTAATATACCAAAGTGGACAAATGAAATGAATGAATACTATAACTATGATAAAAACATAGGAGCATACATTAGACATAGGTAATAACAAATAAACTGTTCCTATAGTTATTACGATTGATATAATTACTTTGTTATTTATGTGAGACAATAATATAGGAAATAATACAAAAAATTGTACCGAAACAGTTAAAAGTGAAAATGCATGTAAAGGAGAAGCAAGTCTGGATGCTAACATCAATGAACCGAAAATAGATGAATTGATAGACAAAGAATCAGAAAAAAAGATTTCCGTAGAACCATATTTGTTAAATATTAAATGAGTGAGAAACATTAATATAGTCATAGCATATATTGTGTCAGTACTAATGGTTTCGGTTAATGTACGCAAAACCGGTGATAAAATATATCCAAAAATAAGAAAAATTAAAGTTGTTCTAAGATCTTCTGACAGTCGCTTTGACATATTTAATATTTTTATATTATAAAATAAATATCCAAAAATGGTTAAAACTATTTCAGATATAATAATGACATTTGGAGTTGTCCATTCATTATATAACCAAATAAATATGATAACAAAGAGAACTGGAATACTTAAACGAATCGATATACTAGCACCTAAATTAATAGCTTCTAGTCTAGAAACATAATCCGATTTTACATTTTTACGTAATTCTGTCAAAAATGTGCTGTCTGTATAATTATCAGGTAAATCGGTAAATTCATAAAGGTTTTTCTTCCATTTTATATTAGTATACATTTCATATATATTAATTTCTAAACCATCAATGTAATTATAAATGTAATTGAAACATATCTTTTTGCTTGTATAACAAGTGAATATTGAAACTGAAAATTGTAAGATATTTATAATGGAAATACATTGTAAACTTAAATTATTATTTTAATAATGAAAAGTATATAATACGTTTATCACTTACTTGACCTTATATTCGGCAACTTTATGTAAAATTATTAGGTTATAAATAAGAATAATATTAATTTGATTTATTATAAGGCCAACATATATTTGGAATTTTATCTTCTGTTTCTATGATTTAAAAGCAGTTTTGAACGTTTGAAGAACTCATCCAATACAACATATATATATATACATTTCCATGAAATATCCAATGTAAATAAAGAACGTTGATTGGATGACTAGTTTGATACGACAAAATATTGTTTAATATCATCCATTCGGGACATTTCTATATTCAAAATGTCTATTTGCCTTATAAGAAAATGTTACTTGTATATATGAAATAATGACAAAAAAGGAAACAAATTTTATTTCATACAATAAAATTTTATTATGTCCTTCATTGTTCTGTATGAATTAAACATGAAAATAATTATTTAAAAAAATCAAATAAGAATTAAAAATAAGTAAAATTGAATCATCTGAATACAATAATCAGAGAATTGATGAAGTTACATCTGGAGTATCCAGTACGTAGTACATACATACATACATATTGGTGGAATATACGGTTCCGTTATGCCATCTGTTGTTTAAGAAAGATGCAGTCAAGAGAGAAGTCGTGTATCCACGTATACCGTTTATCGTGGGTATTGGTTGGTGGTCTGAGTATATGAATAGATAGTGCACAAGTAATCAGGCTCGTAAAATCAGATTAAACCTTATATTCGAATAGTCGTTGAACAGTTTTGTTAGAACATTAATTGAATTATTAGGAAATTGTTAAAAGTCTTGAAAATATTATCGTAGTCGATAAAAACAATAATACCGATAGCTGGACACAACAACGGACGCTTTCTATGTGTACGCGTTTTCCCTATGATCCGCCGCACAACTCTGTTCTATCATTTCTTTCTTGCATTTTCTCCCCCTTGCCCGTCAACCCTTAACTATCTTCCCCCATTTCGGTGTGTACGAGTATGAAGAGTATCTCGATTTCTTGTCAAGTCCTTCGTCTTAATAAATGTACGCGCCAGTGATAAAGGTTTACGAAACTTAACTACATAGAATATATCGCGTGTAGTGTCGAGCGCGATTTAACCTTGTGAAGCCGATCCTCGGCTGTTTTTCAATGCGCGAATGAAGAATATTCGGTTCATTTAAGAGTGGTATGTCAATGTGTATACACAGTACGACATTACCGTAGGCGAAGAGAAGAGGATATACTTTTCAAAAATTCTTCTTGAACATTTCATTCGACATGATGAAGAGCAGTGCTTTGCCAAAGAAGGAGGGCAAAATGCGTATACGTGCTTTTCCGGTAAGAAATTTTATACCTTAATATCTGTCTAGATGAGATGTAAAAGAAAGAAAGAAATAAAAAAAGAAACAGAGAGTATAATCAAGCTATTAAATATATCACGTAGCCAACTCACATTCACACACAGCACGCACGTACCACACTTACATATAACTATTCCATTATAATGTTTCCACAAATTATTCACAAAATTTCCTTTATTATGATTTCTAATATTAATAAATTCAATCAAAAATCATGTGATTGCTCGTTGACACTAATGTAATGTAATATCATTGTCACGATGCACTCTCGCTATCATTTTACTACTTTGACTTTTCTCATTATTGCCGTGTAATTATATTCGAATGACAAAGTATTTTAGAAATATTATAGGACATATGCATGTCTTAATTAAATCAAATATATTTCTACAAATTATGCTTCTTTTGAACTTTTTTGTTTTATTTCTTGAATGCTATTGAATAGGTTAAGTGAATTCGTAAATAATATATTAATTTTTGTTATTTGCAATTTAACTTCCTTCTTACTTTTATATACTTTATAAAATTATTAATTCGTATGTTTATATATAAACAGGATAAAAGTTAATTGTATTTAAATGCTAAATTTCCTGTTTAAATGGATTGTTCTTTATTTTCATCTTCCATATTATAGTTTACACAGTTCCTATATGAATTTATGATAGTTCATATGTAATATAAGTTTATGATTTGATTTGACAGAAAAATCAATATAAAACTTAAAAAGTCTTAGTATAGTATATGTCAGATATATTACTTCGCAATATATATATGTTGGTATTTTAGAATGAAAATATTTATAAATATTTAAGAAATATTTAAAGTTCTTAATATAAAGACAAGTATAAATGAGAAAATTTGTTAATTTATAACCTTAATTTGGGACAATTGTTGCTATAACGACAAAAAAGTAAATAAAATTTGAAGTTTAAATTTTACTATCTTTAGAGAGAACTGCAATTTTGTCTTTTAGGTAATAAAGCTACAATACGTAAGATGTAATGCGTAAGCATTGATACAAACAGGTAAAATTCGCATTGAGAGAAATTGTATAACATTGATTAAATATATGAGTGTTCAAGAGGATAAATTATGTTGTCAATGTTACGTGTGTTATTCTTTTTCATGGGATCATATTCCGTTAAGTAGAACTAATATATGATTATGAAATATTCTCATATTTCAGTTTTTAATAAATTTTTCTTAATATTTGAATTTTCTTTCATGCATATTAAATTTTATATATCTTACCATTATATTTATTTTGATTATATCATTGAAATATTTATGGTTATATATTTATTATAATGATGTTTTATAATAAATTTGCATAATACAGATAGATCCATTGATTATTAAAAATAAATTTATGTAATGCATATTTATACAATTGAATTAAGGAAAAAACGTAATAAGGAGGAAAATTAAATTGTAATAAAAAGAAAACAAAGAAATGTCAAATTTAAGAATCTATTTAATCATATTGAAGAAATACAGATGGTAAAGGAAAACATTCATGGTGAAATAAACATGAATAGTGCAAATACCTTTCTTATTACCAATACCCCTGTGAGAAAGTGTATCTATTATACATTCATTTATTTTATATCATAAAAATGTATTTGTGTGATTTTTATAATTGTAACTTTTAAAAGTATGTTGCATAAGTTAAAAATTAAAAATTTAATATATATTTAAAATCTTAAAAACTTGTTTGTATCATAGTATTTGTTGTATATCATAATTTTTGTATTATAGACGACTATGGATGAAAAGTATGTAGAAACTATTTGGACCTTACTTAAAAATGCCATCCAAGAAATACAGAAGAAAAATAACTCTGGTCTTAGTTTTGAAGAATTATATCGTAATGCATATACTATGGTTTTGCATAAATATGGTGAACGCCTTTATACAGGATTAAAAGAAGTTGTAACCCAACATCTTGAAAATAAAGTACGAGATGATGTTTTATATTCCCTTCATAATAACTTTTTACAAACGTTAAATCAAGCATGGAATGACCATACAACTTCAATGGTAATGATCAGGGATATTTTAATGTATATGGATAGAGTTTATGTACAACAAAATGATGTGGACAACGTATATAATTTAGGACTTATCATATTTCGAGATCAGGTAATACTTGTATAGCTATCTGTAATATTTTATAATATAAAATGATTTCTTTAATAAAATATTTGTAAGTAAAAAGGGTATATTATAGGTGGTTAGATATGGTTGTGTAAGAGATCATCTGAGAGATACATTATTAGGTATGGTATCAAGAGAACGACATGGTGAAGTTGTTGACAGAATTGCAATCAAAAATGCATGTCATATGTTAATGTTACTTGGCATTAATAGTCGTCAAGTTTATGAAGAAGATTTCGAAAGGCCTTTTTTACAACAAAGTGCAGAATTTTACAGAGTAAGTATCTATAAAATTATATTTGATTACTTTCTTGTAATTCTTATTTATAAACAAAAGATACATTTTCTTAATGTCTTTTCTAGATTGAATCTCAAAAGTTTTTAGCAGAAAATAGTGCATCTGTTTATATAAAAAAAGTAGAAGCAAGAATTTATGAAGAATCAGAAAGAGCGAAACACTATTTAGATGAATCTACAGAACCACGAATAGTTGAAGTTGTGGAAGAAGAACTAATCAAAATTCATATGAAGACAATTGTTGAGGTATAGTTTTTTTTTTGTTTTTTTTTTTTTTTGTTTTTTTTTTAAATACAAATAGAGGACATCTTGATAATTTTATTTTTATTAACAGATGGAGAATAGCGGTGTTGTACACATGCTTAAAAATCAGAAAACAGAGGACCTTAGTTGTATGTATAAATTATTTTCAAGAGTGACAGATGGTTTACGAACAGTTTTTGACTGTGTATCTCAGTTCCTTAAAGAACGAGGACGTGCTATGGTTCAAGAGGAGCATGAATCAACAACAAATGCTGTGCTCTTTGTACAAAATTTATTGGACTTAAAAGATCGTTTTGATCATTTTCTTCATTACTCATTTAATAATGATAAACTTTTTAAACAAATGATATCTTCAGATTTTGAATACTTCCTCAATTTAAATACTAAAAGTCCAGAATATTTATCTTTATTTATAGATGATAAATTGAAAAAAGGTTCTAAAGGGGTCAGTTTTACCTTACACTGCCTCCTTGGTAGATTTTTTAATGATTATGATTCTAAAATATGAAATAATTTTAGATGACTGAACAAGAAATTGAAGGAATTCTGGACAAAACTATGGTTTTATTTAGATTTCTTCAAGAAAAAGATGTTTTTGAACGGTACTATAAACAACATCTAGCAAAACGTCTTCTTTTAAATAAATCAGTATCAGATGATAGTGAAAAAAACATGATATCTAAACTTAAGGTATTAAAAATATAATAACTAAACTAATTTTAATGATTTTTTTCAAATTTCCTTTTTTTTTTTAATAAATCATTAAATATTATTTATTTTAATAATTAGTTACATGTTGCAAAAG